TACAGTGCTGTCGATTTTGCTGCTGCCCCCGCCATTGGGCTCGGGGGTCCCGGTGGCCACCCGGGGAGCCAGTTCGCCGACCGCAGGGCCCTGCAGGCCCGTGCCGAATGGATGCGCTGTGCTCTGCCCGGCTGCGCGCCCGGCGCCGGGACACTGAGAGCCGGAGACCCCGCTCTGCAGCTTTGCAGCGGCGGGCGCCTCCTTGGTCTCTGCGATCTCTGCGCTGCTTTCCCCTCCTCTTCCTCCAGACTCTCCTCCCCTTCCCACGTCAGCAGAACCTTCGGTCCAGACTCTTCGTCAGAGAGAGAGAGGGGGGCCGGGGCCCAGGGGAGGGCGGGGTTGGGGGCTCTGTTGTCTGTTCCCTGGGTCTGCGGGCCTTTGCGGTAAAAAGCGGAAGAAGCTAAAGGACAGTAGCTAGCTCTGGGACGCCGGCGTCCTCCTTAGCTTCCAGTTCTCCCTTACCATCATCCATCCACCCACTCATTTATTAGGCAGTACATTTATTTAGTGTCTACTATGTTCCATGGGATGACGGGGTGGACAAGACCCACCTTGGAGGAGGTAGGCTAGTGGGAGGAGACAGAGTAAACTCACAATTACAGCAGAACTTCTGCATATGAACTGTTGGGTTGGCTGTTCTCAGCTCCAGCCTCGGTCCTCTACAAGCTGGTCATGTTTCTGGGCTTTACCGCCCATGCTGGCTGAATCTCCATCATTTCTCAATAGCAAGAGGCACTGCTAACCACTGTCTCTGGGCACTTTCCTCCTTGGCGGGGAAGTCCCACACTCTGGTTTTCCTCTCCTGCTCCTCTTTTCTCCACTGCAGGCTGGTCCTTCTCTTCCCCACCATCACTCAGTGGCACCTACCCTCAGATGCTTGGTCCTCGGCTCCCTCTCTCTCTCTCTCTCTCTCTCTCTCTCTCTCGCATTGTTGTCTCCTTTCAGGATCTCACCCATGCCCATGGCCACCGAGTAAACAAGACGGACCAACACAAGGCTGACTCCCAGATTCACATCTCCAGCTCCCCCCTTTCCGCTGAGCCCCAGATCCCCTCTTATATGACTTTCTCCCCTGGGCGATTCACAGGGGTCTCCTGCTCCTGCGCTTCCCCACATCACTTGATTGTCTTTCAGAACTGTTCTCCTCAGGGGATGGCACCATCATGCACTGTGGCCACATGCTCAGGCCACAGCCCTTAGAGCGCTCTCTTCCTGACCACCATGTTGAATTCTTTGCAGATCTGCTCATGTCCCTTTCCTGCCTCACAGCCTACCTCACTGTCAAGGTAAACACTAATGTGGTTTGGTTTTGTGTTTTTTTGAGAGGTTTTTGTTATACAGTGTGTGAGCTCGCCTGAAAGAGAGAGAGACAGAGAGACAGAAAATGAGAAATCACCTCCTGTGGGATGGCCACGCTGTAATCCCTTCTCCTCCATTCTCCTCTTGGGATCTTGGGCACGCACGCACACGCGCCTGGAGTGAGTTTAAGCCACCAGGTCTAGGACTTGAAGGGCAGTCAGCTACATGGGAGTCCAGCAATATAGCCATTACGCCACCTGCTGGTCCCGGTAAACACTAATGTAATAGAACCTCGTACATGGTTCCCACATGCTTGGGTGCATCTTAATCTCATTCCCCCCCCCACCAGGCTCTCAGTACTCCAACTGCACTTTCCTTTCGGTTTTTCCAATGCCAAAGGGTCTTTGCACAAGTCATTCCCTGTGCCTAGGAGCCTTTTTATTTTATTTTATTTATTTATTTATTTATTTTTTTAAAGAGAGAGATTTTGCTATAGGGCTCCTGTGCTCGCCAGACAGATAGAATGTGAGAAATCATTCCCGGGGGCAATGACCAAGCTGCAATCCCTTCTCCTCTATTCTCCTCTTGGGATTTTGGGCATGCATGCACACATGCCCAGTTTAAGTTTCAAGCCGCTGGGTCAAGGACTTGAACCGTGGTTGACTACGTGGGAATATATAGTGACATAACCAATACACCATCTGCTGGTCCCAAAACCTAAGTTTTCTTCAGCCTTTGGCTATGGGCTCAAGCATCTTTTTCAGAGAAGTCTTTCCTAACCATTAGAATTGTTGCTCAAGATGTGGTTCACAGACCAGCAGCCCCTGTATCACCTAGGAGCTTGTCAGAAATGCAGAATCTGGACCAGCTGGTGGCACAGAGGTTATGGCATCTGGATCCTACTTGACCGACTGCATGGTTTGAGTCCTGGACCTGGTGGTTTTAATAACATGCAGGCTGTGTGTATGTGCATGAGCAAAAATCCCAAGAGGAGAATGGAGAAAGAATTATGGTGTGGCCATCCTCTCTGGGGGGTGCTTTCTCACTTTCCCTTTGTCTCTCTCTGATAAGTACACATGTCCTTTAGCACAATTTTAAAAAGAAGGAAATGCATAATCTCTATGACTCAATCTCAAATCACAATAGAAATTTTATTTATTTATTTATTTATTTTCAATTTATTTTTTTCCCCCAGAGGAAGGAAAAATGCCTTAGGGCATATGCGCTTGCCAGAGAGAGAGAGACAGACACAGTGAGAGGGAAAGTGAGAAATCAGCCCACAGGGAAGAAGACCACCCACAATCCCTTCTCTCCCATTCTCCTCCCAGGATCTTGAGCACACATACACACGCACCTGGTGTGAGTTTTTCTTTCTTTTTTTTTAATAATTATTTACTTAATTTTCATTTATTCATTTGTTTATTTTAATTTGACCAGAGAGAGACACACAGAGAGAAGGAGAGGGAAACTGAGAAAGCAAGCCACCAGGGCCAGGACTTGGACTGCAGTTGACCATGTGGGAGTGCCCAGCACCTTAACCACCACCTCACCTGCTGGCCTCCTGGTGAGATTTAAGCTACTGAATCCAGGACTTGAACCACCGTTGGCCATGTGGGAGTCCAGTGACATAACCACTATGTCATCTGCTGGCCCTCACAAACTGTATTTTGACTAGCTCTCCAGGTGCATATGCATTAAAGTCAGAGATGCACTTCTCTAAGAGATCTGATACCGGATATGTACTTTGTTCTCTAATCCCAGGGAAGGGCTGGGAAGGAGTGTCCCGTCAGTCTCAGTCAGGAAATCGTTCCCCCTTCTCTTCACTGTACCACACCTTACATTTGTCTCCACTGCTTAAAAAATCTCCGCATATGGGAAGCCCTTCTTTTCTAAGGCATCAAGCAGCCTCCCACCACCTCTCTTCACTCAGTTCATTTCAACATCTCTTCAGGATTTACTAGGAGGCTGTCATAGCCAACATTTCCTTCTTTTTTTGAGAGATAAGTTTTTGCTATAGGGCACATGCCTTCATTGGAGAGACAGAGAAACAGAAAGTGAAAAATCACCACCTAGGGGATGGCCATGCTGCAATCCCTTCTCCTCCATTTTCTTCTCAGGATCTTAGGCACGCACGCACATGCGCCAGATGTGAGTTCCAAGCCTCCAGGTCTGGAACTCAAATTGCGCTCAACTACGTGGGAGTCCAGCGACTCAATTATTACGCCAACTACTTGTCCCAGTGGCCACCATTTCTTTGGGATTTGTCTGTGTCCTTGTGCCTGTTTTAGAATAATCCAATTTTATGTGGTGCTGAGCCGTTCATGTGGATCATCTTGTTAGGTCCTTATGACGTCCCTGTAAGACCACTATTGTCAGCCTCATATTAAAGACGAGACCACAGAGGGCCTGTAATGATTCACCAGGGACACACAAGAACATGGCAGATCTCAGACTTGAGCTGAACTCTGACTCTAATTCCAGGCTAATCTCTTGAAGTACTCTCTGGAGGGGCCAGTGGATGGCATAGCAGTTATGTTGCTTGACTCCCACTGTGGTTTGAGTCCTGGATCTGGTGGCTTGAAACACATAGGGCATATGTGTGTGAGTGCCCAAGATCCCAGGAGAAGTGATTGTGGTGTGGCCATCCCCCTGGAGAGTGATTTTTCATTTTGCCTCTCACTGTCTCTGTCTATCTCTTTCTGGTGAGTGAACATGTCCTGGGGGGGAGAGGGGGAGCTCTACCAAAAAAAAAAAATACTGTCTGGAAGATGGCGGATGGCCTTCAATCCATATAGGTGAATTATTTGCCCTCAGATAAGTTTTCCTTTGAGAGTAAAATGGGGATAAAAAGGATCCTAAGTTGAAGGCAAATGCATAGGGGTGCCAAAGACTAAGATCGTGACTGAAATTTGGCATGACTCCAGTCAAGTCACCATGCCGGGTTTTGTTTTGGGAAAACAGACTGAAGCTATGGCTCTGTGGCTCGGACTTCTCCAATAGCTGGCATGACCTCTCACCTAAGCCGTGGTCTCATGGATTTCACCAAAGATCTGTGGACTGTGGACTTCTGACACTTTGTATTCATTTACCTCCTTGGCTCCTCTACAGGTTGGTTCATCCAGGATGATCAGGAAACCTGGAAAGTGGTATGTAAGGTACTAGACTGTCTTGGGGGTCACCTAAGGAATTCGGGTGCCCAGAGCTGTTCTGTAGTGCACAGCTGACAGGCCTTTAGTTGGAGTGGTGGCCTTTCCAGGATGGCACCTTTCAAGACTCTGGTATGGCTGGCCTTTCTACATCTCTTTTTAAAGTTCATTGAGAGTGAGTGATATCCAACAGGGTCACACTCTGATCATGGGGGCACCCGGCAAGTTAATGCAAGTACCAAACCCAGGGCGTTCCCGTATAGCTCCCATATGGCCCAGCAGTGCCCTACAGCCTGCACCACCTCAGCCGGCCTGCATCCCTGCCTCTAGGGATGTTAAATTGTGAACTCTTGGAGGAAGGGTCCTAGGTTAGTATGGCTGACTTTCTGAAATAACAGTCCACATACAGACTTTTCAGTTCTCTCCTCCGGTTTTTAGCTCAGATATCACTCTTTTGATTCCTATCACCAGCCACTGCCAAGTCTGTGGCAGTTTGTTTTCTTGCTCAACTTGTTTTATTTATTTATTAACACTTATTTACTTATTTATTTGTTGTGATTTTCAAGCAGCTGGGTCTGGGACTCAAACCATGGTCAGCCATATGGAAATACAGCACCTTAACCACCATGCCACCTGCTGGTTCCATTAAACTTTTATAATTTATTGTGATATTTTTGGGGCCACCAGGTCTGAGACTCGAACCATGGGCAGCCATGTGGGAGTCCAGCACCTCAACTACCATGCCACCTGCCAACCCTGTTAAACTTACTTTAAAGGAATTGTTTGTGACTATATCCGACCCTAACTAGGATGGTTCACATGATGTACCTTCAGAACTGTGCCTGGTGCATCATGAGAACAGACGTGCCCAGAGAATAAATAAAGGAGCAAACATTTCTCAAAACCCTGCTCACAATATGTGTCCCACATGCCAGGCCTTCCCCACCCTCCCAGGCTCCCAAGAAGCAGAGTCGGGGAACCAGACAGCAGGGTTTATTGAGGTGCATGCCCATGCCTGAGGCCTGGCTCCTGGCCTTCTGCAGGAGGAATCCTCTGGTCTCTCCTAGCCCTTCGCAGTATGGGTAGTCAATGTCCTGCTCTCACTCTCGGCCATCAGTGAGGTGCTAGTGTTCACGATGCCCAGACAGGAAAAGAGGGAGGCTCTGTGTGGCCCCAGGGCAATGCCACCTGGTTCTTTGTGTGGCCAAACTTCCAGAGGGGAGTGGCAGTGCAGGGACCTCCACCCCAGGCTAAGGAGAGGAGGAGAGTCCAGTTCCTCCCTGGCCCTGAGGGATTGGTAACTGTCTCTGATAAAGCCCAGAATAATATTAAATATAAATAATTTATACAAAATGGCTCGTACAAAAAGCTGCGGGTTGGGAGGAGGAGATGCCTCTGTGAGAGGCTGAGATGTCCAGAAGGGGCTGGAAAGGGGAAGACAGCTCCGCCCCCTAGTTCCTGTAACAGAGCCCTCCGACCACTCAAGGCCTGCAGGGGCTCCTGTGGAGGAGGCGCTGAGCCTTGCCAAGGGACCCTCAGGGGGCCAGGCTGGTGAGTAAGGTGGTGAACTGCAGGGCCTGCCCCGCCAGTTCTGCCACACACTGTGCCATCTCTTGGGCCACTGGGCCCGATGGGTAGCCCAGGGCGGCCCCCTTGACAGCCAGCACAGTGGCCCGCAGTGCTTGGCCCAGTGCTGTACTTGCAGCCCCTACCCGTGCTCGCAGAGGGGCTGAGGCTGCCAGCCGGCCCAGGGTGTCCCCGACAAACACCAGGCGGTGAGCAGCCACCACCACCTTCTTGCCATGGGGCACGAAGAGGTGAGGGGGCTGGTTGGTTTGCGTGCTGGACATCAAGGCCGCCATGGCCGTCTCCAGCGCTGAGTAGTGGCTCTGGCACTGTCCGGCGTAGAAGTGTAGGAGCTGCAGATCTCCGGAGGACAGAACCAGCGGCTCCTCTGGGGACAGGGCCTCCTGAGGGGCGAGAAGGGCAGTCACTGGGAACATTCTCAATAGAGTCACTTCCTCTCTCCTTCCCTCCTTCCACCAGAAAATTCAGATTCGTAGAGAATGGCTGTGAAGAGCCCCAACTTGATGCCATGGCCGGTGGATCTAGATTCAGATAACCTCAAACGTGACTCCAGACAAGTCTCTGAACCTCTTTGTCTCCTTTATCTTTAAAACGGGGAGTCTAGAAGTGCACGGTCTAATGTAAATACAATGTGAAATGCAAACAAAATTCGGAATGTTTTAGTAGCTGCATTACGAAAAGTAAAAAGACAGTGAGTGGTACATTTTATCTAACTCTGGTGCAAAAAAAATGTATCTCAACATGTAATTACTGTGAAAATTACTGAGTTTTTTCCATACTACATCTGCAAAACCCCGTGTGCCCATTATCCTCAGTGCAGACTTGCCGCATCCCAGTACAGACCAGTACAGACCGCTGGGCCTCGCTGGGCCTGCTGCTCCGTAAATACCTGATAAATGGTAGCTATTGTGTTAGGACCATGTTGGGCAGGGTGGAGGAAACCACCTCACTTTCCTGAGGTTCAAAGAGATTAACTGACAGTTTCAAAGCCCCTGGCTTCTTAGTAGTGGAGCTGGGATTAGGAGCCAGGTCTCTAAGGAACACAGGAATTCACAGTTGGAAGGCACTTCAGCAGTGACCAGGCTCAGCTCTGACCCACAGCCCTGAAACTCTGCTCCCCGGCTGCCTGGCCTTCTGACTCCTCTCCAACACATTCTTTCCCGGCTTTCTGAATTCCTAACATCCTCTTCCAAGTTCCAATCCTGTTTGCATCTAACTCCTCTGTACTCTGTCCCTGCTTCACTGAACTCTCACCTCCTCCCAATCTATCCCCCTCAAGGTTTCAGTTAAGAATACCCCTCCCAGGGACCAGCAGATGGCATAATGGTTATGCCATTGGACTCTCACGCAGTGGACCACAGTTTGAGTCCTGGATCTGGCAGCTTCAAACTCATGCTGGGTGCGTGTGCCACGTGCCCCAAATTCCAAGAGGAGAATGAAGGAGAAGGGATTGCGGCATGGCCATCCCCGTGGGGGGAGTTATTTTTCCTTTTCTGTCTCTGTGTCTTTGGTGAAAACATGTGCCCTATTATATAAAAAAAACTCTCTAAAAAATAAATAAATAAATAGGGGGCTGGCAGGTGGCGTGGTGCTTAAGGTTATTGGACTCTCACATGGCCAGTAGTTCGAGTCCTGGACCTGGCAGCTTGTTCTCGCTCTCTCCTCTCCCTCTTGCTCTGTCCCTCTCTGGTCAAATTTAAAAAAAAAAATTAAATAAAGTTAAATAAAATAATTCTTTTAATAAATAAATAAATAAATAAATAAATAAATAAATAAATAAATAAATAAATAAATAAATAAATAAATAAATAAATAAATAAATAAATAAATAAATAAATAAATAAATAAATAAATAAATAAATAAATAAATAAATAAATAAATAAATAAATAAAGTTTCGGGGCCAGTAGTGGCACGGTGGTTAAGGCACTGGACTTCCACACGACTGATGGTGGTTTGAGTCCCAGACCTAAGTAGTTTACTTTATCACTTTTCTTCTTTCTCTCTCTGTCTCTCTGGTCAAATTAAAAAATAATAACACTGATGAATAA